CAAAAAGTGCTGCTTCACTCTCTGTGGTTGGGAATCTCTTCTGATATATCAAGGGATATTCCTTCTGAAACTGCCTTAGCTTTCTTCTCTTCTCCTTTCGAGGTAAGCTCTTGTTCTTGATGATGTTCTCTAGAAGTTCTGCAATGGCGGCGTGAGAGGTAGAAAACTTCTGTTCATCAAACTCCTGCGCACTGATCTGCTGACAGTGAGAGAACGCTGGCACAGGAGCAGCGAGCGCATCCCCAGGATGCTCCACATGGCCCTTTTTTAAGTTGTCGAGTTGTTTGTCCACAGCAGCCTGCAAGTAAGAGGGCACTTGCAGAATCTCCTGCTGATGATCCATGAGGAAGGAAACTAATCTTGCAGCCAGCAGCTCATCCAGGTCCACTTCTTCAGCACAGCACAGCACACACCGAGAGAACGTGTGGATCATCAGTGCCCTTGTACCCATCGCATCATGAAGTCTGGGCATATCGGGGTTTTCACTCATTCGAGAAATCATGCGCATTAAAAGTTGAAGCTTCCTACAGTTCGGTGGGGGGAGTAACAAACAACACAACTGTAGCGCACGGACAGCAACTCTCTCCAAATGAGGCTGCAGCAGACCCAAAATGTTCACGAATAGCTCATAATACTCATAAGTAAGTAGAGGCTCAGGGAGACCGAGAAAATAGTCAGCAATTGTTCTGAATACATCACGCTCAAACCCAGCATAAGTCGGATTACTCAAATCATTACTTCTAGGCCAATTTGCTAGGCACTTCATAGCAGATGGTACCCAGTGAGGAAGATCATCTGATTTGCCCTGTAGCACAACTACTCCGCGTTTACTTGTGTTGGCCATGTTGTACATTATATATTGAGGAATTACTTGGTTTGGATCTATGAGTTCTTCTAGGGAAGGCACACATAAAATGGTCTGCAGGTAGAGCAGAATGATATATCGCCAAACTTCTTCAACATCCTCCTGGCTTATTTCTCTATAATCTCCTGAGTTTTCTTGATCTTCTCTGATTTCATCATTTACTTTCTCG